CTATTAGCAGTACAACAGACTAATGACATCCTCTCTTTGCTAGCTCAACCCAATATTTGGAAACAGCAGAATCGGCCCAGATTATATAAGATGTGAAGTGACGGCTTACAGGTAAGGATCCTGGGACTGATATTACCACATTACACTACAATGTGAAGGTTCATTTGCTGTCATTTTGTTCGGCATTGGACAGTCACCAGCAAACAATTTAAACACATGATCAAATCTGACATTGGCTTTTCTATTGTAGACCGGTGAGAGCTGGGAATGACACAGGGGTAGATGCCGTCTGCACCTACAGGCGCGACTCCACTGCTCCCCCGTTTGACAGAGTGGGTGTTTACCATGAAATCCGCAACAAGACAAATGGCATCACCAAGCTGGGCCCCTACATCCTGGACAAGGACAGCCTCTACGTCAATGGTAACCAGATGATTTCTTTACAGCTTGTCTCTTCTATGTAATTGATTGCACCGATGTAACAATAGAGACGCGATATATTTGATGGATGTTAAAGATCACATATAGCAAGAAAGAGTCCCAGCCCCACAATAACCATAGACCATAGAAAGTCAGTGATGGTTTTATGCCCTACTGCTCTTTCTGGACCATCCTATTTGTCACTTCCTTCCCTCCCCACCTGTCTAGTTGCCCTCTAATCATTTTCCCTTCTCATTCCAGGTTATAACGAAGCACCAGCTCTGCCAAGTGAGTATAGTTCAGAATGATCCTTAATGAAAAAATGGGAAAGATACAAACTTTCAAAGTTTAATACAAGACAGGCGGTGAATAGAGCTTGTCTAGAACTGTGAGTCTGCTCACAATGGAATGGAATTGGTCGTCTAAGGAGAACTGTCCGCGGTACCCTTGGGGGTGATGGAGGGGAAATAAAATCTGAATTGCGATTTGCGTAAACATGGATCTGGGGAATTAGAGATGTGTTCCAGTGTGTCTGTAGGGCTGAGATCATTGATTTTTCATTCTGCTATTTCATTTTTTGCAGCTGTTTTGCCCATCTCAACCCCCGCTCCAGCAATTGAACATTTCACAGTGAACTTCACCATCACCAATTTCAAATATGATGCACAACTGGGATCTCCTCATTCTGCCCGGTTCAAGGCTACTGAGAAAGCCTTGATCTCGTTGGTAAGTATGATTGGCTCCCAGCCTTTCTGGGCAGTTTGGGGTATCTGGTGCTATCAGCAGTACGACAGACTAATGACATCTTCTCTTTGCCAGCTCAACCCAATATTTGGAAGCAGCAGCATCGGCCCAGATTATATAAGATGTGAAGTGACGGCTTACAGGTAAGGATCCAGGCTCCGAGATTACCATATTGGGATAATACAACTGCTGCTCCTTCCAGCGGTATTGTGAGGATAAATACATTAAAAGTGTGAGGCTCTTGGATATTAGAGGAATGAGGGCCCAATAAGTACCTTAGATCAACAACTAATATGTTAATCTATCCTTGTTAATGTTAGCTTGGTCAGGGGAAAACAAACCTTCTCTACTTCGTTATTTTCCTGAAGACTTAACATGCTGCTGATTTCAGAGGATTTTACCTGATGGTCTTTGGGCAGGAACCGCATTGAGAACCAACCATTCGGGGTGGGGGAAGGGCAGGTTGGGAGTGAGGCCGGGAAATGGGTCCAGGAGCGGATTTCTCTCTCACAAAGCGGTCGACAGATTTAAGATGTCGGCAATCGCACAACTTCCTTACCTAGCATTTTATTTCATCTCCAAAAAGAGCAGATTGGTTTTTTTCCTGAAGCTTTTTAAAATTTTCCCATGTTATAAATGGATAGAAAAAAAAATCACGTGAAACGTACTTGTCCTGTTGTCCCTAGCCCTGTGGAAAATGGCGACGGCACGCACGTCGATGCCCTCTGCACCTACCGAAATGACTCCACCAGACCCAAGTTCGACAGAGCGAAGGTTTACCACGAGCTGAGCAACAAGACAGGAGACATCACTAAATTAGGTCCTTACAACTTGGACAACAGCAGTCTCTACGTCAATGGTAAATAACTAATGGCCCATTGGTGTTCACTGCTGTCGCAGGCACGGTGTTAAGAATCGAAAAAGCACAATTCACTGTATACATACAACTACATCCACTGTGCGCAGTCTCTTCCATACCCTGTGTGCTCCGTTTATGAGTACATTGCATCTCATTAATTTACACGTCTGCAGTGGCTTTACATCCAAGCCATTACACTGCGGCCATTAGCTTTCTACCTTACACACCAATCAATTCCCAAGAGCTGTGAAGCAGCACTGGAATCTTCAGCGCTTGGCTTCTGGTGCTCCATTCCTGAGTTATCTCTTTTATGATCCTCTTTCATTTTTTAGTGTCTCAGTCCATAACCCTGTTTCTTAATGATAATCTCTGTTCCTTTCCAGAATACAACGAAGCACTTCTTGGGCCAAGTAAGTGTTTTATCAAATTAATTCACATTAGAGCTATCAAAGGAAAATGAGTGGGGAAGGAATTCTCAAAAGCCCTGTAGAAGGGTAGAGTTCTGTTGGGACTGAGGGTGTCTTTGAGGGTGCAGAAGGCTTTGTATGTTGCTATGTTATGATCCTTTCCCTTCTATATCACAGCTCTGAGCTCAACTACCCCCCAAAGTCCAACAGCTGGGCATTTCACACTGAACTTCACCTTGACCAACCTCCGCTACACCACAGACCTGGGGACACCGGGTTCCCGTAAATTCAATTCTACAGAGAAAACAATACTGTATTATGTAAGTCTGACAGACACACGCTGCCCGGCCTGTTTCATTTGTTGGCTCTTGTGCTCTCCCCTTTGCACACCCCTCTTCTCCCCCCAGACGTGTGTCAGACTCAGGAAATGATCTTTTCTTTGACAGATTGAGCCTCTGCTCAGAAACAGCAGCATTGGCCCGGTCTACACTGGATGCAAAGTGATGGCATTTAGGTAAGCAGGGTATACTTCTTCTATTCCGCTACAGTGTAGGGCTTCATGTACATTCGCTGGACACGCTAATCACTAACAATGTATAGTTCCTTTCCCTTTCCACTTTCCCTAATATTTAAAATATCCATATCCTAACTACCACCAGTGTCCGGCATTTAGTACCTGGGAATCAGCGTCATGAAAGCTGCTATGATTTCTTAGATACCCTTTTTTTCATAACATTGCTTTCATAATTATATTGTGATATTTCCATAAGCTTCCTTTAAACCCAAATTCAAACAATTATCCTGTCCCTCTGGATAGTCCAGCTTCCGTTTAGTTGGTTCTTTTTAATATCATATTGAGGAGTGAACACAGACAATGGCACTAACTAACAGAAATCTTCATAACGTCTGATTCCCTAGGTCAGTGAAGAACAGGGATGACACCGGGGTAGATGCCTTGTGCAGCTACAGGAATGAGGCCACAGCGCCCAAGTTGGACAGAGTGAAGGTTTACCGGGAGCTGAGCAGCATGACGAAGGACATCACCACGTTAGGGCAATACAACCTGGATAACAAGAGCCTCTATGTCAATGGTAATCGGATGATGGTCTCACACCTCCAGGGAGCGCTCACATCGCTCCTTGGTTTAACGCGCATGAATAAAAAAGATGAAACGCCGGAAAAATGTACAGGAAAACATGACATCCACACAGCATAGAAGTCAGTCCAGACTTGAGTAAAATATTTGTGAGCTCAGAAAACAGCTGATTTCCTTGCACTCCATGGAAACACTCCTTCATTGGGGTGACAACTGCCATAGTAGGACAAGAGAAATTCCCCAGGAGATGGAAAGGGGACGTGGAAAATACAGGAAAGTGAGAGATGGCCTGCTTGGGCCTTAGGCTCCCATTCCGCAGGGCATTTAAGCACGTCCTTAACTTTAAGCACAGAAGTGCCCCATTGATGTGTATGGAATAACACGTGCTTAAAGATGAGCAAGAGCCTAAGAGTTTTGCTGAATCAGGGTCTTATTTAAGAACATGGGTAAAATGGTCACAAACACTCAAGTAACTGAGGAGACCAAGTCCCATGGATTGGCAGGATTTAGGCTTCTGAGTCCTACAGGCACTTCTAAAATTTTTACATTAAGTCCCATTTTTAAAAGTGACTTAAGCGATGTAGGAGACTAGGTCCCAGTGACAATCACTGGGATTTAGTCTTCTAAGTCACTTAGGTATTTTAGAACATTTTATCCCAATAGTACACATAGCTTTTATCCCCGAGTTGCAGTTCTTTGAGATTATAGTAAAATACAGCCATTCTTAAGCAATAGGGTTACTTATTCGATAGATACACATCTACAGCGCTTGGCTTCTGGCGGTCCATTCCTGAGTTATCTGTTGTCTGATCCTCTTTCATTTTTTAGTCTCTCTGTCCAAAGCCCTGTTTCTTAATGATAATCTCTGTTCCTTTCCAGAATACAACGAAGCACTTCTTGGACCAAGTAAGTGTTTTATCAAATGAATTCATATTAAAGCTATCAAAGGAAAATTAGTGGGGAAGGAATTCTCAAAAGCCCTGTAGAAGGGTAGAGTTCTGTTGGGATTGAGGGTGTCTTTGAGGGTGCAGAAGGCTTTGTATGTTGCTATGTTATGATCCTTTCTCTTCTGTATCACAGCTCTGAGCCCAACTACCCTCCAAAGTCCAACAGCTGGGCATTTCACACTGAACTTCACCTTGACCAACCTCCGCTACACCACAGACCTAGGGACACTGGGTTCCCGCAAATTCAATTCTACAGAGAAAACAATACTGTATTATGTAAGTCTGACAGACACACGCTGCCCGGCCTGTTTCATTTGTTGGCTCTTGTGCTCTCCCCTTTGCACACCCCTCTTCTCCCCCCAGACGTGTGTCAGACTCAGGAAATGATCTTTTCTTTGACAGATTGAGCCTCTGCTCAGAAACAGCAGCATTGGCCCGGTCTACACTGGATGCAAAGTGATGGCATTTAGGTAAGGAGGGTATACTTCTTCAATTCTGCTACAGTGTAGGGCTTCATGTACGTTCGCTGGACACGCTAATCACTAACAATGTATATAATGGACACAAGTCAGATATCAGGAATGGCAATATACAAAAACCTGTAGGAGAACACTTCAACCTCCCTGGCAACACAATAGCAGAAGTAAATGTATCCTTCTTACAGCGAAAAAACTTC